TTGAACAAGCTTACACTCCCACCAACAATGAAGTAAGGTTCCCTTCTGTCCACATCCCCTCCAGCATCTGTTGTTATTAGAGTTCTTGATTTTTGCCATTCTAACTGGTGTGAGGTGGTATTTCAACGTTGTTTTGATTTGCATTTCTTATTTTTTTTTTGGGTCCGGTCATGGGGCCCGAACTCTGGGCCTGGGCACTGTCCCTCAGCTCTTCAGCTCAAGGCTAGCGCTCTACCACTTGGGCCACAGTGCCACTTCCGGCTTTTTTCTTTTTGCTTATGTGGTGCTGAGAATGGAACTCAGGGCCTCAGGCAGGCAAGGCAAGCGCTCTACCACTGAGCCACCTTCCCAGCCCTGCATTTCTTCTATGGCTAGGGATATTGAGCATTTCTTCATGTGTCTATTGACCATCCTTCTTTCTTCTTCAGAGAAGTTTCTCTTTAAGTCTTTAGCTCACTTATTTATTGGGCAGTTGTTTTTTTGAGGATTTGTTGTTGGGGGATGGAAAATTCATTTCTAACATACTGTCTTGTGAGTATCGCTGTTGCATTGATTCACCTTTTGCCCTTTGTCTCACTATTTTGTTGTTCCCCTACCTTTTCCCAAATCAGATAAACATATATAGAAGATATAGGGTACCAAGATCAAATATGGTGACAACAGGAGATAAACCCAAGTGGGGGAAAAAAAACAAAAGAGAAATAACTTCACATAGTACATTAAAAACAACAACAAAGAAAATCCTCTTGTTTCCATATCTTGGAGTTAATTTTAATTAGGATAAGATATGGAACCAACCCAGATGCCCCTCAGTAGATGAATGGATCAAGAAAATATGGTATATATACGATGGAATTCTATGCTTCCATCAGAAAGGATGACATCACCTCATTTGTTAGGAAATGGAAAGACTTGGAAAAAATTGTATTAAGTGAAGTAAGCCAGACTCAAAGAAACATATGCTCAATGGTTACAGTATGTCTAGGATAGTCCTAGCAGAGGATCACAATAACCATATGACACTATAATCGAAGAGTACATTTCTTTTTGTATAATGTCACTCCTTTCACACTCTTCACAGTTTTTGCCCTCCTGTCACACCCACAAATTGTATAGCTCATTTTCAACATAGTATCTAGTGACTAACAAGACTGCATTTGTTCACCTCTTATCCCTCCATTTCTGTGTCCCCACTTGCCCTCCTAAAGACAGATAAACAAACAAGACAGAAAAGAAACAAAAGCAACAATGAAGAAAAACTTCTTGTTTCCATTTCCTGGAGTTCATTTCAATAAATATTATTTTATATGACCAAAAGCACATTGGTATTGTACCTTCATCTTTCTCTCCTAAGGATATCCTCTTTTGGTCTCATTGTATGCGAATACTTGTATAATTTATCATGACCTATTGTATTTTAGATCTATTTTCTGCATATCAAGGAAAACATGTGCCACTTCTCTCTCTGAGGGTGGCTTACCTCATTTAACATGAGTTGTGGGGCTGAGAAGGTGGCTCAGTGGTAGAGCGCTTGCCTTGTTTGCATGAGGCCCTGGGTTCGATTCCTCAGCACCACATAAGAAAAAAGAAAAAAGCTGGAAGTGGTGCTGTGGTTCAAGTGGTAGAGTACTAGCCTTGAGCTGAAGAGCTGAGGGACAGCACCCAGGCCCAGAGTTCAGGCCCCACAACCAGACCAAAAAAAAAAAAAAAGAAAGATTTGTTCTACATTTATTCATTGCCTTGCAAATGACATAATATTATTCTTTATAATGGCTGTTTAAAATTCCAATGTGTATAGGTACCACATTTTTTGGATCCATTAACCTATTGTAGGGCATCTGGGCTGTTTCCTTAACTTGCTTATTGTGAATAGGGCATTGATAAACATGGATGTGTGAGTGTCTTTATGGTATCCTAGCTTGTGATGTTCTAGGTAGATGCTGAGGAATAGTATGGCTGGGTTGTAGGGAAGGTCTGCGTTTAGTTTTTTTGAGGAAACTCCAGACTGCTGTCCAGAATGATTGTACATTTACATTCCCATTAGCAGTACAATAGGGTTCCTTTTCCCCTATATCCTCGCCAACATTTGTTGTTCAGATTTACAATGTTGGCCAATATAACTGTAGTGAGATGGAATCTAGGAGTTGTTTTGATTTGCATTTACTTTATGGCCAGGGATGATGAGTATTTCCTAAGTTGCTTATGCTATTTTCCACTCTGATATTGTTCATCTGAAATCACCATGATGTTGTCACTAAAATGTGTTTAATGTTTAATCCTTAATTTCTTTCAACTTCTGGGTTGGCAAAAAATACTCAAGTTCCACAAAAATTGGGCAAAATATTTTCTTTTTTCTTTGTTTTGTTTGACTTTTACTCTGTTGAGGATATCTTCTGGTACTGGTGTGTCAAAATGTAGTGTAGGAGCCAAAACTTCATTGGTTCCAAAGTTTCCCAAATATCACATTGAAAGAACAAAGATTTAGTGGCTGCATTCTCAACCCATGATTTACCTAAACACTTGCTAAATTGGAAGTTAGTTTTCAGTTTTCCTTCTTATATATTACCAAATACAAAGTACCAAGTAAATATTCTTATAAAATATTATTAGCCAAAGAAGGGTTTCCTATCAGTGAATTATCTACTTCTCAGTTTTGGAGTGTCCATCAGAATCACGCTGGTAACTTGTGTCATCCAGGCTGTGTTTAGAGCCAAGAAGAGCAGTGGACTTGGCTGGGACCCAGGCCTCATTCGATAGTGTTGAAAGATGCTTACGTGATTCCCATGTGCGGCTGAGATGAGAGCTTTTCTCTTAGCATATTTAATTCGTTTGGAATATCACAGCAACCCATAAAAGAATATTTATGGGTGAGGCTATTGAATTGTACAATATGGTAGATAGAGAAAGTTTTCAAGGATAAGGTAGGATCAAGTTGAAAGCCTGCCTCGATCAACACCAGTCTGGTTAACTTGGACAGATGTTTTACTGTGTGTGGCCTGCAATTACACTCCAGATTTTTGTACTATTCTTGAGTGCTTAATAGCAGGACAGCAATTTTCTGATATTTTCTATTCACATCTAGTTTCTAGTAAATTCAGATATTTTCTGTCCAGTCAGTTTTAATTCCAGTGGTTATATAATGAAAGATCTGTAGTTTGATTTGGGCTAACAACCAACTATTGAGAAAATTTAAATTTTTGTGAATTTAGGATTTAATGAGTTGACATTATTATTTTCATTAAGAAGTTTTCTAAGGAAATTAGTAGCACAAACCTTTACAGAATAATGTTGAAATAAGAAACGATTTAGAGACCTTTGATGCATGTAGGCATGTTCAATGCAAATGAGTCTCACATGTACACAAAACCAAATTTGGAAATAGGCTATATGGCAGGGTGGGCCAAGCTTGAATAGAATGAGAATAGTAATCTGTGTTACTGATGAAATCAAGGCCAGAGAACTGAAGAGGCTATGATAGACAGTGCCAACAACAAGGGGGTCTAGGACTCTTCCTATGGCTCTTTACTGGCCATCTAACAAGTGGGATGTCTTGTGTGAATTCTCCCAGCTTCTATGGAGAAAAATCACAGGATGCAAGATGATACTCAATATAAGATACACATGATCAGTGATAAATGTTGCAGAATTGCTTAAACTGTTAGCAATATCTGAAAATTGAAAATTTACTTTAAAGTCCTGAGTGAATGCCATTTTCAAATAGTGATTTGTACAGTTTTCAGGGATCCTGTGTTCAATGCTGCCTGCTGGGATTTGGATGTGGGCTGTATACTATTTTTATTTCTCACCATTGACATAAATGCTTCTTAGGTAGAACACATTATTTTCTCATGTTTTACATTAAAAATCAATGTTACCCATGCTGTGATTAAAACTGTTTTTTCTTAGACATGAGAGGAATGAATATCAGAAAGGTTTAAGGAATTTTCCCAGAATTTTAGAACAGGTTGGAAGTAAAATTTCTGAGCCTTCCTTATCAAGCTGGAATTGCTAGGTGCCTCTGTCATTGCTTCTCTATCCTGGGAGGTGTGGAAAACTGCCAAGGTAGTTTTCAAGCAGAATGATAGAATACCGCATCTATGGCTTGCAGTGCAGACCCTAGAAAGGAACTGCATTTCTCAGTTTTCAGAGTACCCCTGCAAATTGCATGAGCATCTTATATATTTCAAAGAAGAAAGGACCTTTTCAGATAGCCCTTCCCTTAGTTTAGTTTCTTGGAACCTCCAGATAATCTCAGTTCCCATGGTCTACAAATGTGTGGAAGAAGCAGAAAACAGTAACAACTCAAGAGCACCAAGCTGGCATTGACTGCTCCATGCTTTGTATTGTACTTTTTCAGAGTGCAAATTCACCTGCACCAGCGGTAAATGCTTGTATCTTGGTTCACTGGTCTGTAACCAACAGAATGACTGCGGGGACAACAGTGATGAAGAAAACTGTCTCCTAGTGACTGAGCATCCACCTCCAGGCATCTTCAACTGTAAGTCCTCAACTCATTTTGGTGACATTATGTCAGGTGATGTTTTTAAGATGGATAGGTGGTGGTGGGGTTGTTGGAATATGGAAGGGATGTTGTTTTCTGGTTAAAGGGTCTTGTATTTCACAAAAGAAATGTGTTCTTTTTAGAATAAAAAGCAGATGTGTAATAGTAGGAAATGATAGCTTATTTTAAATGGCCAGTGGCTTTGTTTTGTTTGATGCCTATCTGAGAAGTACTGGTTAATTCCAAGAAGTCACCTAGTGTTACAGAATTATTTTACAGTGTATCACTTCAGAAGCAATTTTAAATAGGAAATGATAGATATGCAAAGAGTCCATAATTAATCAGGAAAATAGAAAAAAATTATGAGACTTCTAAAGGTTCTAATCATGTGCTTCTCTATGGTTGCAAAACAACTTGTATGAGATATTTATATGTATTAATTCCCAAGGCATGCATTTGAAGAAGTAAAAGCAAGTTGAAATCCACTGGGTTTTGAACTCATAGTTTTATGACAAAGGAGGAAAAAGGATGCAACTTAGGACAAGTAGCTTATTTTCTATCCTTCCTTGGGCCAGGTGCAGTGGGTTGAAGGTGAGAACCTTTTTGCAGCAGCACACCTACAGGGAGAATGTTTTTCATACTGACTTTTGCTGTGGCTTAGAGAAGTATCCTCAAGGCCCAAGTGTTTGGTCCCCAAAGTGCTAATGGGAGGTGGTGGAACCTTTCAGAGGTAAGGTGCAGTTGAGGGTCTTCTGGTCATATGATGGCATGCCATTGGAAAAGGGATATTGGGACCTTCACTTTTTCTCTGTTTCCCTTGGATCCCTGGCTGTCAGGAGATGAGCAGCTTTGTCCCGCCACACGTGCCCCACTGTGACTTGCTGTCTTGCTGTAGGGCCGATTGACCAAGGACTGAAGCCTCTGAAATGGCAGCATAGTAAACCTTTCTTCTCTTCAGGTTAACTTATCTCGACCTTAGTCTTGTTACAGTGATAGAAAACTGACCAATTTCTTCATGGGGTCTTCTTACTAAAATTATTTCATGATACCATTAACTTCTCTCCTTGCTTTTAATGAGATTATTTTCAGACATTATACTTTATATAGATTAAAACATTTTTTTGTATTTGGATATTTTATTTTCATAAACACAGAAGGCAAACTTCAGACTTTGACCATTATGTGAACAACTGGTTAATCTCGATTTCTACAAAGAAATTACTTGTCATAAACGAAAATGTAATTTGGCAAATTATTGTGTACGTATTTTTTATTGTAAAAATGCTGTACAGAGGGGTTACAGTTACATGAGCAAGGTAATGAGTACATGTCCTATTGAGTATTGTTGCCTCCTCCTTTGTTTTCCCCTACTATCCCTTCCCTCCCATCTCTACAACTAGCCCCCCCCACTGAAGTTGTAAAGTTCATTTTCAACGTAGTGTTTTGTACATCTCATTGTTACAATGGATCAGCTTGTATCCTTATTTAACGATTTTGTTTTTTCCCTTCCCCTCCCCGAATTAGAGGAGTGTATATGCAAGATGCAGGGCAACGACTAAAACATTTTTGCTATGGAAATTATACTGCATAATTACTAATATTACAAATGTGCAACTGGGAAAAGATTTAAGAACAAAAACTATTTTCTTTATTAGTACTGTGTTTTAATATTGGGAAAAGCTACATATAACACAATTAAAAATTACTGTACGATAGTGAACTTTAAGTCTGCTATTTAGATACTTGCTACATTCAAGAATCTAAGAATATTGTTTCCTCAAGAATTTTTGTTGTGTCCATTTGCATTTGCTTATATTGAGTGTTTTTCAAGACCCATGTCTATTTACTGAGATGACATTTCTCAAAGATATTGCTTTCCTGGTATTCGTTAGCTTATGTTTTCTCAGACTGTGTTTGTGTGGGAGCTTTTGTGTAATACAGCTAGACTCCCATAGGTATAATCTGGCCAGTGGCTTCTGCATCTCTAGGTCTGGACCATCTCAGCGCTCTTGCACTCTAATGTTCTACTGAGTGTACTGGAACCAACATGTGGAGAGGACCCATGAGAGGAGAGTGAGAGGTCATGGAAATGAGGAACTGGGAGCAGGGTGGGAAGTATGTCTGAGGACTAACAGGTAGCATGCCAGCAGGCCAGGACATAGAAGAATCCTTCTTATGTGCCTTTCCTGTGAATGGAACAAAGTTCATGAGCTCCACCACTAAAACATAAGATATCCTTAGGATATGCCTTCTTCTAGCCAGACGGCTAGGCAAGGGTCCTGGTCCTGACACTTCCCTCCTTGCTACAGTGCCCTCATCAGCACCGTTGAGCGCCAGAATCATTTCTGGGAATACTACCTGGGACAGCTATACCCCAGCCAAGGGTGTCTTGTAAGGAGAGCAACAACATAAAGGGTGTTTGTTGTGTTGGTTCTCCAGACTTGAGAAACAGCAAACAAAAACATGATAAACTATGAAGAGACTACTATGATCATCTGTGGTACCTCAACTGAAATAGAGAGTTCTGTGTGGAAAGTAAGCAGCCAAACTTCTCTGTGCTGCAATCTTTCACTGACTGTCTTAAAGATAATTCTTCTTTACTTTATGGTTTTTCCATTAAGGTCTTCCTGCTTCTTTTCCTTTCTAGTCCCTTCTCCTTTCACCCCTCCCCCCTTCTTTTTCTCATCATTATTCTTTGCTAGTTTTAAAAGCATATCTCCAGATAGCTTTCCCACTCACTAAAACTGCAAATGCTTTAATTCTGTTTAAAGCTAGGCAAAGCAGGTAAATCTATAGATGGAAATTTGCCTTCCCAGAGAAATTTAAGATCCTATTGGCAAAGTATTGACTTCTACTTTGCAAATATAATTAGAACCTGTCTTTAGAGCTAAAATGAAAGAGTACTTACAATGAACTCTCTTTTAAGAAAGTTGGAGATTCAGGAGTCAGAATGCCAAAAGGGCAAGATCATGACTGTAGCTTCAAGCCAGATTGTGTTCAAGTTTTAGCACAAGAAAGTGACTGAACCCCTATAAGGCTTATACTCTGATATTTGTAAAATGGGAATGATTTTTGTTATCTAAGGTTGTTAGGATGAGTTAAATAAAATATATTAAAAGTACAGCCCATATAAAATCATATCATAATCATTCTCCTCCCTTCGTCCATCCATTGCTTGGCCATTTCTTGGGATTGTGAGTCACTCTGACTTTCTATCATCTGCTTTTGATGTCAGGGTTACACTTCATATGTAACAGAAGTTTGAAAGCATCCAAAAGTAAATGCATTTGTAAAGGTACTGGATATTTTCTACTAATTCTGTTCTCTTAGGAAGTTACCATAGAAAGTGTGCCATCTGAAGGTGGCTTGTGACCTGGCTGGTGACTGCTCCTAGGGGGCTCCCTCCCTAGGCTCTCTGAAAGCATCAAGAAGAGGTAGGCCTATTTGTCACCTGGAGAACAGCTTGTGGGGCTGGTCTTTTCCCTGCTTTTAGGGTATACAGCTTCACAATCAGTGATGTCTGGAGGATGGTCTTACATAGAGTAAATGTATATCCTCTGCTGTATGTCATGCCCAGAAAGTGTATAGAGTAAATAAGAAATATTTTTACTTTTGTAAAACAAAGCTTAGAGGCTCTCCAAATGTCAGTGAAGTTTTAATAGGTGATATGTGTTTTTATTGGATCACCTGCAGTGCATTTTTACAGCTGAAGAACAATGTCCCTTTCATTGACTAATAACTCTGTTAATAAGCTTCCACTTCCTCTCTACCTTGAAGAAATTAAACTATGATAGGAATTCTTGTCTATAAAATTCTGTATCCAGAAAACAGTGCTTCCTTTCTGTTCCTGTTTAAGAACAGAGTTGGTTTGTTTGAACCTATTTTGTTCTCTTTATAGAAAATATTCAATATTATGATATTTGAGTGCCCTTAAGTTGAAGCAAGGTGGAATCTTTTGGATTTTTTTTTTTTTTGGGGTCTGGTCGTGGGGCCTGAACTCTGGGCCTGGGCACTGTCCTTCAGCTCTTCAGCTCAAGGCTAGTGCTCTACCGCTTGAGTCACAGTGCCACTTCCGGCTTTTTTTCTTTTTGCTTATGTGGTGCTGAGGAATCGAACCCAGGGCCTCAGGTATGCAAGGCAAGTGCTCTACCACTGAGCCACCTTCCCAGCCCAATCTTTTGGATTTCTAAGTGAGCTAGAATCACTTCTTTGTGTCATTGGCTTTGTACCAAGGATCAGATGTCTTGGTCTCTCATTTGTCTCTCATTTGATGTTTGCTGAGCTTTAATATAAATTAAGGTTAGAAGGAAATCTCACTGTTATTCATAGTCAACAGAACTAATAACCACAGAAGCACTATAGTAACTGTAAGTAGCTTTTACCTTCAGAAAGTATTTTTGGAACCTAGATCTAGGCCCATCTGGTTTGATCTGCTTCTCTACCCTGTTCCTCACCATGGCCAGAGATCTACTGACTGAGGCTGACTTTTTTTACTATGAGCCCCAAGGGGTTTTGCACAGATGTTGAATGCTGGGATAGCATTGACTATCTCCCAGGAGAGTTTCTGTATCCATCTTTCCATTGAAGAGACAATATGCTGTCTGAATAAATTCCAAGCTTTTCTCATATCAGTTCTTTATCAAAATACTGTACTTCTGAGTACTAAGTATACAAATAAAACCATTTGTTAAGTGCCTTGTTTAGTCATTGTGCCAGGCATTATGGGGGGTAGGAGGTTTGGGGAGTGGATGAAGGGAAGTATAGGCCCTGTTGTCAAGGTGATGTCAGGGATCTCAGACTCACTCATACAAAGTAACTAAACATGTATACAAGGTTGAGGGCTGGCTGGCTCCCAGCAGTTTGTGGTTCAGAAGTATGGAGAAAATCATGCTTACTGGACCAGTAGTCCTAGTAGCTTCAGGGAGGAGGCATACTGGATGGGTAGAGGAGACTAAGTGTCAGATCCTGGAACAGGATGAACATGAAGGAGCAGTAAA